CTTACCAAGTGGACCAGAGTGGGGAGGACACTGCAAACAGAAGGAACAGCACGTATAAGCACAACCTGAAATCTTCTGGGAACTTAAAGCAGTTTGATATAGCTGTGCATTTACCTAGGGAGAATGGCAGGAGGTGAGGCTGCACAGATAGGAGAGCACTAATCTTAAAGGGCTGTAATTCTATACTGAGGAGCTTAGAGTGTATCCTAGAAGCAATTAGGAACCACTGGAAGATGGACAGATCCAGGGGCAGATGTAATCAGGTTTGTGATTTATTTATTTATTTTTTATGGTTAGTTTCAGGTGTACAGAACAATGCAATAGTTTTCCTTTTCACCCTTTGCACAGAAAACAACCCCCCTCCCCATCTACTGCCCTCCCATCCCCGATATCATACTTATCTATTACAATTCCATTGACTACATTCCTACACTATACTCCACGTCCCATGACTATATATATATGTAATTATATTTGACATACAATATTATTCAACATCAGTTCAGAAATACAGTGTGGTGGTCAGGCCTCTATACCAACTATGAAGTGGTCTCCCTAACAAGACATGGGTCCATCTGGCCCCCTAAAAAATATTTACAACATTATTGATTATATTCCCCAGACTGTCTTTTCTATCCCTAAGGCCATATTGTAGTTACCAATTTGTATTGTCTCGTTCCTTCCCCTTCTCCTTCATCCCCACTCCCTCCCAACTAGCAACCATCAGTTTTTCCTCTCTCTCTCTGAGACTATTTCTGTTTACATTTCTCATTTATTCACGTTTGTGTTTTAGAAAGAACCTCCTCTGAGCTGGCTGGGAGATATACAAGAACTGGTTATATTATCACCTATTCTTTTCTGTATGTTTCAAATTACTTCAAGAACAACACTCCGCTAGAAGGGTGGAGAAGGGTCTGGAGGGGAGCAAAGCTGGCTGCAGGGGTTGGAGGTTATCACCATGGACTGTATGAGAAGGGAGGAGAGTGAGAACTAAGAGTGGGGAAGGAAGCAGAGGAGAGAACACACAGAAGAGATGGTCAGGTGCTGAAGTCTGCAGCACTTGGGGAGGGGCGGGGTGGGGTGTGGGGGATGAGAGAGGGAGGAGGAGTCCAGGATGACTGTGAGGTCTCTGGTGTGGGTAACTAGGAGGATGCATTCTCCTGAAATGGAGATAAAGAGGCAGATGAAGGTGTTCAGGAAGAAAGATGAGCTCACATTTAGACACCTGCTGAAGATGCCTGTTGGACATCCAGATACAAACTTCTAGTAGGCAGCAGTATTTAAGTGTCTGGAGCTGAGGTATGATGGATGGCTGGAGGTATCTATTGTTGAGTCATCAGCACAGAGCTTGAAGCTGAAGCCATAGAAGAGACTGAGTCTGCACAGGCAACACAAGGAGCGCAGAGAGGGCCATGGGAACACCCACATTTAGGGACAAGCAGGGGAATGAGGAGTCAGCCAAGGAGATGGACATAGAGAAGAAACAGTGACACGACACAGGGCAGAGGAGAATCATGAAAAACTTGGAAATAAAGTGAGAAGAAGGTTTAAAGAAGAAAGGAAATAGAGTACCCAATGCTGTACAGGTATTAAGTAAACTGAAGATTTCAGACAAAGACACATTGAATTTGGCCCTGGGTCAACTTTGTCTCAGTGAACTTTGCTAGGTGGTTTCGGTGACGTGTCAGGGGCAGAAACCTGACTCCAGTGAATAGGAAGGGGGAACACTGCAATACTGCAGGTCTAGAGTACTCTTTGTAAGAAACTCCCCACGTGGGGAAAGGAAATCTGAGATATTTACAGGAGGACACAGGATTGAGGACAGAGTATCAGTTTTATTTTGAGACTGGAGAAACTCGAGCAAGCTCACATTGTGGTGGGCGTGTGTGTGTGTGTGTGTGTGTGTGTGTGTGTGTGTGTGTGTGTGTGTGTGTGTGTGTGTGTGTGTGAAGCCAGTAAGGCGGGAGAGTTGAAAATAGAGAGAAGATAGAAGTAATAACTGCAGAAGCAATGTCCCGAAGAGCAGTGACCAAAGAAACACAGCAGCAAGATTGGAAGACAAAAGTGAACAGAGGCAGAAAGAGGTCAAACTGTAGGTGTGGGATTAGAAAATCAAGGGAATTGATGCAGAAGCCTCAATTTTATCTGTGAAATAAGAAACTCAGTGAAAAATCTAAGGGCCAGAGAGGTGGTGATTTGCACAACTCCTGGTTTGCAAACCGGCCCCCTACAGGGAGGGCAAGAGGAGATGGAAGGAAGAGGCAGAACACTCCAGGTTGGTAGGTGGCATTTTTAACAGGCAAGGGAACTGACATACGAGGCTTGTCTTGAGCAACCACAAGACGAGCAGATTTCCATACCACCTGCCAGAATCTGAAACATTTACACAGAGGCTTTAACTGGGGTAAGTCATGTATTCAGTCCAGATGGTCTAAACAACACCTTACTCTCTCAAGGATGCATCTTTGCACATGGAATGGCTCTGGCTGTGGGGACGGCGGGCAAAACGTACCTTCCAATGTCAGGGGAGGGGGTGAGGAGCCTTAGATTGCTCAGGTCCAGCTTCCCAGTCACCCTGCAGCCCCATCCTCTCAACGATCTCCTCCAGCAATAACCCACAGGGAGTAAGTCAAGTGTCTGGACTCCTTGCCTGGTGTTCTTTCCATTCCCTATGCGATACTCACTCACAGTAAAGATACTTGCATGACTTGAACTTTTGTTTTTAAATGGGGCTTTTTGTACCTTTCTTTCGAAACATTACTCAGCAAGGCTGGCTTCACACAAGTGTGAACAAGCCACCTGTCGCCAAGGGCAATAAGCTTGCCAAGACCATGGACTGAGACCCAGAAGACTTACTCTCTTAAAATGGGGAAGATAGCAGAAGTTCACCCTCAGATAAGGGTCCTGACTTATGCCACTTTCGAGTGCTTAGAAAATGTTTATAACACTCAAACTGTGAAAGATATTTCTGTAAAATTACCTAGAGGGGACAGTAGTAGGGCGGAAGGAATGGTTGGGAGTCAATTCTGGACAAGTCTCTGGGCCTCTGCACAGTTCCAAGGTCCCTTCTAAGTGTAACACACACTGATGAAGAGGTGGATAGGACTAAGACACTGAAGTAGATTACTAGAACCAGCCAATGGAGCATCCAAAGCAGCCCAAAAAATTAAGGAAGGATCCCACAGATGAGAGCCATCCTTCAGCCTTGGATGGACCCCGCCTAGAAACAGGCAGATATTGTTCAACTCGAGTCCAAATCACTTCCACTTAGAAAACATAGTCTGTGCCATTATTTATGTAACAAACACCAGGAAAAAGGAGAGCAAATACCTTCATATCACCATCATAGATTCTAGGATTAGAAAAGACTTTGGTCCCAACCCATTAAACCCAATTCACAGGTTTTTCTTCCCTGAGACTACTCATCTTTCCTTCTCCTGCGATTTCTTCACTGATATCAACTGGTTTCTATGGTAAACAGTCATACTCATATAGCAAAGAAACTTGTAACTAGCATTGGCTTGCTTCCTGCACTCTCCTGAAAAAATCCCCTACACAAAGGACTCCTTATGTGGGAGGATGGCACTGAGGTGGAAAACTGGATTAAGATCTTGTAATCGCTGATCAAAACAATTCCATGTAATTAAAGCCACAGGAGTACAGATGTGAACCTAACCCAATGCCTCACGTAACTTGAAATGTTTTCTTAGAGACAAAACATTATGTAACATAACTCTAATTATCATTAGCAATCACATATATTTCTTCATTTGAACCTAAAGCACTTTATATGCAATAATTAATTCTTACAATAACCTTATGAAGCTGAGAAGTAGCAAGGGTTATTACTCCCATTTTGCGAAGATACAATCGGGGCAGAGAAATATGATGAGATTTGCCCAGATCAGAAAAAGTGAGTGGAAGGCTGTCATATTTCAATTCTTGTTTAGGAACTTATTGAGTTCCAACCATGTGCTTGGCTCTATGAAGACAGTCAGTGTGTTGTTTGTGGATGGAGTGGCGTGGGGAGGTGGGGGTGGAAAGGGGAAAGTACTTTGAATAACCCACTACAAAGACAGAAAAACGATTTGCGACTTTGTGATTCCAACTCAAGCTACAGGCACAGAAATTCAATTTTGCCACTGGGCACAGTCTAGGAACTACAAACGAAGCTACATCTGCCTTGTCTCAGAAATGAGAGCTACTCCTCTACTTATTTTTGAAGGGAACAGAAATTAAAAATAAAGAAAGTATTCAATTTTTATATTCCTGATAGGAGGGGAGAGAGTGAGGGATTCCACCTTCTAAGGAAATGGGCTGAGATGAAAACTATACACTCATACATTCCCTGATGATGCTATCCAAAGTAGCAGCTTGTTACCCCTTGTCTCCTTGCCCTAATTATTCATCATAGCCTTCACAGTCACTTTTCTCATTGTCAGTCTCCCCCACTAGCATGTCAGCTCCACAAGGGCAGGGCTTTTATCCATATTCATTGATGTTTTCATGGCCGAGAACAGTGCCTGGCATGTAATAGGTATTCAAAAAATATTTGTTAAATCAACGAAGAATGCCTGAAGGTTATAGTTCCAGTTCTGTCACTGATCAATTTTGTGACTGTGGAGAAGTCATTTCATCTCCTGGGGCAATAGTTTAAAAAAAAAAAAAAGCATTCAACCACATAATCCTTTTCAATGCTTTGACAGTGTGATGTCATGTATACTCGTACAATGAACAAGGCGAAACGTGGTAATTGGAAGCTAGAGTGGAGTGGGTAACTGTCACATTTCCTCTCTGCCCAGCACCTTTTGAATACCCTCTTCTGGTTAGAGAATATACTACCTTATGAGTCCTGCCTCTCCAAGGAGAAAACAGAAGCTTACTTACCCAGCCTTCCTTTTAGCTGAGGATCAGCCATATGACTTGGGTTCTGCCTAGGCAATGCACGTACCTTCAAGACATTTCTTTTTTAAAGAGGAAAAATGTAAGGAGACGGGTACCTTGCGGAGTTCACTTCCTGGTGTGAAAGCTGCAAGGGCAGAGGTCTTGCCTTCCAGTGGTCCCCATCAACCGTGCAGAGGAAGAGTCCGGATTGCGCAGCAGCAGCAAAGTTGTTTAACGTGGCTAAAGATTTGTGGAGTAGGGAATGAAAAGGAGAAAACTTTTTCATTGAGGGAAAAGCAAGACTTTTGGAAGCATCACAGACTTGATCCAAATCCTGCTGCCACTTACCAGCTGTGCCCTTGAATAAATTATATGCCCTCTTGAGCCTCACTTGCACCATCTTTAAAATGGTCATTGTTCAAGGTCACTCATGGCCTCTGAAAGCAGGATTCGCTCGATGCCAGGATTCCCCAGGGACTTCTGCTGGTGTGTTTTGCCTCTAGATCATTGAGTCAAAGTGAGGCTTAAAATTATGAATAAAATTAGGTTAATTTATAAAGTGGCTAGAAGATAAAACAGAAGTATAACACTAATAATAGAGACAGTAAAGTCAACTAACAAACGGTAATCTTTCCCATATGTATCAACAGGCCCGAGGACATTACTTCCAGCGGAATAACATAATTGATGCTATAACAACGACCTTTAGTTGCCAAAAATTAAATTATGGCCCATATACTGTGATTATGGCAGAGAAGTAAGTATTATATTTTATGTACATTTCCTCAAAAGTGGTTCCAATAAAAATGTTTTGGTATTTAAAGGCTAAGTGTCAGTTATCTGGAAAATATCTTTTCATGGAACAGATTATCTTCTGATGATGTCATAAAGTGAGATGTAATAACTGATAAAATATCGGAATATGAGAAAACAATATGGACAAAAATAGTTTTGTTTGAAAATTGGCTTGAATACCTAGAATTCTTCATAGAAACTCTCAGAAGCCTAGTAGCTCCCAAGTGCTATTTATGAACTTAAAGAGACAAAATTCACTCTTTTCTGTGTAAGCCCTCATTACCTAGAAATAGTACCATAATAAAGTCAAAGGAAACCAGAAAGCTGGCCTTCAATAACTCTCCTTTTCCCAAATATCCTGTTACCTGATACCAGGTGGGAAGGCATCTTTCTGAGTTTTTCAGTTGTCACATTGCTACTCATGTATTTATTCCAATTGTCTTCTTCAAGTTTATATTTCCTACTCCTGCCTCCCAAATATGGGTATTTCCTGAGGCGTAGGCCTTGGCCTTCTGCTCTTCTCTATAAATACTTTCTTCCTGGGGAACTATCATATACACTGATTATTTCAATGGTTGTTTCTTCATGGATGACTCACACATTTACATATTTAGGCAGAGTCTCTATGTCTCTTCCGCATTAGTCCTGTATTTCGAACAATCCCCTAAAAATTTCCTTTTGCGTAGCTTGCCATCTCAAATTCTATAAATCTTTTTGAGCTCTGGAGCTCATTTTTGCTTTAAAACCAACTCACCCTTACGGCTATCTCTTTTCAGTCCCCATTTCCCAGGCTTAAGGAATTGGGAGTCTTCCCTGATTCTTCTAAGCCTTTTCTCCCATCATCCACTCAGTTCCTAAGGAGGGCACTATTCAGTTATTGTACCCTTGCCCTTTCTGCGCTCACCTATCCTCCTCAACACCAAGGCTGTCATATCTGTCCATCCACACCACCCTACACACTTTTGCTAGGTTGATGTGTCTAAAACGTGGCTTGGAACCTTCACAGTTCCATCGCTCATTCCACAAACATGTACTGAGCGCTTCCTTTATACAAAGCGCCGTGTTGCCCACTCCAGGGGGTAGACATGAAATCAGACACCGGTCGGCTTATAAGCTAATAGGGGGAAAGGCGTGTGCGTACATCACTTTAGTCCTATGTTAGAGAGCGGTGGTAACGGAAAGACTCCATGGCGTATTCGTGTTATGGGCTTTGGGGGCAAGAAAGGGGAACAGCAGAAAATAAAAAAAGTTAGGGTTTTGAATCCCAGTAAATAAATTTGGCCTTTAATCTACAGGCAACAGGGAGCCAGTGAAGAGTTTGGATCAGGACTGTGCTTGCAGGTGACTGAACCTATGGCAGCTGCATGTAGGATGGACTGGTAGGAAAGTGGTGCTAGAGGAAGGCAGCGGTGAGAAAGAAAACGCCGTTGGAGGATGGGAATGGGAACTTGGGCCAGGCGGAGGAGGCAGTGGGGAAGGGGACTGGATGAAAGTCAGAATTACTGGGGCGGGGGGGGGGGGGGGGAACGACACATCAAATTAATGTCATAAAATGTAGACATTGATGTTTCCACGCTGGAAACGGGTGGTAGTACTAACAAAAAAACGGGTGCACAGTCCGGAAAGCAATTTGGGAGGGAAGACGCCAAGTTATTTCTTGGATGCTCAGCGTAGATACACCTGCAGGGCATTCGAGAAGAAACGGCCACGACTCTTGGAGGTGGCTGGGGACTGACGACTGAAGCTGGGGCAGATAGGGGGTGTGTTTCGGCAAAAACACGTACAATATGGTCTGTGGGACTCTTACTACCGAGGCCGGTCCTGGCAGCAGTGAAAGGACCAGCGTCTCTGAAGGAGCCCCTCAGGGCCGGCTCTCGCCTCGCGTTCTCCACAGGCTCCGGGAGCGCGCGGCCGGAAGCAGCCTTTCCCATTCTTCTCGGCACGCTTCCGGAACTTCCGTCCCTGCCCGTCAGCAGCTCCCCGTCCAGGGGACTTCACATCTATGGTGGCGTCTTTCCCTGCACAGGTGCCAGGCAGGCTGAAACCGCACTGAGGACACCACCTCACCTAAGCAGGCCGCCGGCGTCGCCCCAGCGCCCGAGGCACTGGGAACGCTCCCCACGCCGAGCCCTAGATATCGCGAGGCTTGAGAGGCCCGCCTCCTGCTTGGCCCGCCGGAAGCGGAAGTCAGGAGGTTGTCGGATTCTGACAGCAGCGGCTCCGTTAGCTTGGAGAAGTGAGGTGGTGCGGCGCTGGGCTGGCAGTATTGTCCGCCACAGGTGGATTTCCTGCGTGTGTCGGCCGGAGCTGAGCAGACCCAGCGCTTGGCCGGTGAGTTGCCCGTTCGGGCGACGGGAGGAGGGAGTCGGGCAGGCCGAGCCGAGTGGCGGGAGAGGAGTCCTTGGTCTGCATTTCCAGGTCTGGGCGCTTTCGCGAGATTGGAAGCCCCTTTACCCCTCACGGCCCCTAGTTCCCTTCGCGTCTGGAGATCCCAGGTGCTTCAGGAGGGAGAGGATCTGTCAAAGCCTTGGGTAGACCAGCTCTAACGTGCTTGGAGAGCGGACTGGAAAACGCGGTGGTTTCCAGTCCTTACCTTCCTCTGTTCTATGGGTTCACCTCCTGGAGCACGGAAATCCCTTCCTGGTTAGTCGTTTCCAAGGATAGTCGGGCACAAAGTTCTATGTGGTTTTGTGAATAATAACTAATGTTAGAGTACAGATCTGAAAGGCTGTGCCCCGCCCCCCCGTTTTTTTCCCAACGGAAAATAACATACCTTCTGCAGTGATTCAAGCGGGAACTAGCTTATTGGTTTTGAAGGTCCAGAGGACAAACTTTTGTAGCATCTCCTAGCTCTTCGCTGGCACTTGGAGTTCTATTAGCTTTGGAAGTCTTTAGAGCACTTTTCATCCAACCCCTTCATTAACTTAAACCTTTATGGTTCTTACCCATCCCCTCCCAACCCGCCCCCCGCTTTGAGTGTTTTCTTCAGGGAGTCAAGTTTTTTTTTCCTCCCAGAGGTAGACAACCTAAACATTAAACCATACAGCCTCAAATCCCTTGGGCAGGTAAAATTTGGGTCAGTTAAAATACTATTTATTTTTTATTTTAATTAAACTTATTGGGGGAACATTGGTTAATAACATTCTATTTTAATTTCATTCTCATGAGTAATGATGAAGTTGACATTTGTTCACTTGTGGGAGAACATAAAAATGAGTAGCACATTTACCTTGCCTTAGGATTTTTACTGCCCATCTGGTTAGGTATGGGCCATCTTTCTGGTGATTTCTGTGATCCCAATGGAAACCCAGGCATGATTTTAGTTAGCTGAATTTATTTTAAATCATACCTTGGATGTGAGAATTTGACAGCAGTTTGCCAATCCCAGAAAAATGGAAAGTCTGATATTTAATAAGACACACTAAGAGAGCAGTAGCTGAAAGGTAAAACGTCTATTGTTTCTTGCATCCAAACAATAATGTTGGTTTAATTTTGTTGGGATAACAGTGTATTATAAGTGCTATAAATATTTGCATGTTTCGAGGGATTTGGAGGAAAGACGTACTAATGAAGATGCTATCTTCCAATATCACGTTTATCAAAAATTTTATAAATTGAATATATACAGGAAGAAAAATAATATGGAGATGTCAGATAAGAGGGAGAGATTTGGTTTTAAAGTTTTAGCATGTCACATATGCCTGAAATCATAAAACGGTGTAGGAGGCTTGAGGCAAAGAGCAAAAAGATGTGTTTGGGTTAGAAAGGGTCGGGGATGGGAATACTGACTAGTGTTAGGTTAAGGAAGAACTGGGAAGTGGAGAGAGGCTGCTAGGGCTGGCTACCAGGTTTTAGATGAAGATTAAAAGTAGTAAACTCTGTCTCCTGGTTTCTCAAGGATTAGGCCTCTGCAGCCTGAGCAAAATCTTTTCTTAGAGGTAGAGGGCTCTCTGAAAATGTGGGTGAAGAAATACTACTTGTTGAGTGACTATGATTGGCCTGGAAAACCCAGATTTTATAGTCATTAGTATCAATAGTAGTTATTTTTCATTCATCACAGATTCCGGAATAAGAGTACATTGGATACCATTATTACTCCTGTTTTCAGCCAAGCTTCCTGAAAGTTTAGTCTATAATCAGTGATTTCTACTTCCTTACTTCCAGTTACTTCTCAGTTCATTGTAATCCTGCCTCAATTCCTACTACTCTAAAATAATCAACTCCTAATGGCTAAATCCAATGAATTTCCTCTTGGTTCTTTCTGTCACTGTACCATTCAACACTGATGACCATTCATTCACTTTTTATTCTCTTGCCTTCTATGATAACTTCTTCTGGTTGTTATCTCTGTGTGTTCTTCTATCCCTTCTTTATCTTCAACTGTTGATGTTCTCCAGGATTCTGTTCCATGACACTCTTCTTATTCCAGTCTTCCTGAGAAATCTTATCCATTCTCACAGCATAACCACCAACAAACTTGCTGATGTCTCCATCTTCATCTTCAACCCAGTTCTCACTCCCAGGTAGTTAACTGTGAACTGACTCCACGTGGATGTACGTACTGTAGCTAACTACAAACTCAGTGTGCATACTCACCCACCCTTCTTCCTGTAGTTCCTATTGCACCATAGCCTGTCCAGTCATTTGGCCAGAAGGCTGGGAGTTGCCCTTATTCCCTCCTCCCAGCGACTAATCGGTGATTAATTCCTCCTGGAATTTTTATTTTATTTTATTATTATTAGTTTCAAGTGTACAAAACAATGCAATAGTTATCCTTTACACCCCTCACAAAGTGACAACCCTCCTCCCCCATCCACTGCCCCCCCACCCCTGATATCCTACTTATCTATTACAATTCCATTGACTCCATTCCCACACTATACTCCACATCCCGTGACTATATGTATATATAATTATAGTTGACATACAATATTATTCAACATCAGCTTCAGAAATACAGTGCGGTGGTCAGCCCTCTACACCGTCTATGAAGTGGTCTCCCAAACAAGACATGAGTCCATCTGGCCCCCTAGAAAATATTTACAACATTATTGATTATATTCCCCAGACTGTCTTTTCTATCCCTGGGGCCATACTGTAGTTACCAGTTTATATTGTCTCGTCCCTTCCCCTTCTCCTTCATCCCTACCCCCTCCCAACTAGCAACCATCAATTTTTCCTCTCTCTCTGAGACTATTTGTTTACATTTTTCATTTATTCAGTTCTTTAGATTTCACATATAAGTGAGATCATATGGTATTTGTTTTGCTCTGAGTGACTTATTTCACTTAGCATAATGTTCTCTAGGTCCATCCATATCGTTGCAAATGGTACTATTTCCTTCTTCTTTATAGCTGAGTAATACTCCATTGTGTAAATGTCCCATAGTTTCTTAATCCATTCGTCTACCGATGGGCATTTCGGTTGTTTCCAAGTCTTGGCTATTGTAAACAGCACTGCAATGAACATAGGGGTGCGTATATTTTTTCGAGTTAGTGTTTTGGGTTTTTCTGGATAAATACCTAAGAGTGGGATTGCTGGGTCATAAGGTAGTTCCATTTCCAGTTTTTTTGAGATACCTCCATACTGATTTTCATAGTGGCTGCACCAATCTGCAGTCCTGCCAACAGTGCACCAGGGTTCCCTTTCCCCACAACCTCGCCAGCACTTGTTTGTTGATTTATTGGTGATAGCCACTCCTGGAATTCTTTTAAAACTGTTCTCACAGTCACTGCCTCAGATTAGCCCTCAGCATGTCACCTATATTATTGCAGTTATCTGCCTTTAGTCTAATCTCACTAATCTATTCTCTACCCTGTTAGAAAAGTGATCCTCGTAAATAGCAAATATGCTCTTGAGACGTCTCTGCTTAAACCACCTATTATTCCCCATTGGGTACCAGTGCAAAATGCAAAGCTGTTGCGTGGAATATAAAGTTTTTCACAATTTGACTCCTGTCTACTTTTCCAATTTCATTTCTTGACATTCACTTCTCCTTCCTTTATTTTTATACCATATCTGTCTCATCTACTAGACTGAGAGCTCTTTGGGGGCAGCGTCCATGGTATATTGTTCATCCTTGCATCCCAGGCTCCTAGTTAGCTGTGTCTGTATTATGGTAATCAAGAAATACTGAATTGAATGTCTAAAATCTATCTTAAGTTTAAAAGTACACAAGACTTTTATGAATATCCTAAGATTGTTTACTTCTCAGTTTTTCATTATCTGGTAGGATAGTGTTAATTTTTTTAAAATTTCTAATAGAAACATATTAAAAACCGTACAGAATTTCAGAATGACTGACACTTCTGAAGCTGTTCCAAATTTTGAAGAGATGTTTGCCAGTCGATTCACAGAAGATGACAAAGAGTACCAGGAATACCTGAAACAGCCTCCCCAGACCCCTCCAATTGTCGAGGAATGGAATAGCAGAGCTGGTGGGAACCAAAGAAACAGAGGCAATCGGTATGTATTACTTCAGAAGAGTGAATGCAGAGGGAGAGGACAGCTTTAATCTGCTAGCCTAGGAGACCACTGAGGGCAGGGACAAATGTTTTTGTTCAGTATGGTATACTGAGTGCCAAGTAACAGTGCCTGGCACAGAGTAAGTGGCTGATAAATATTTGCTTTAATATTTTGTCAGCACCATGTATTTTTTCTTATTGTTCAGTTGTATGTGTGTGTATTAATGTTTTATTTTTAAAGTTCTTTCTGTAGACTAATACTTTCGGTGCAAATATACTTTAGAAACCTAGAGTCTTCTACAAAACTCTGTGTTAAATTTCATAAAGAAGATAATGTTTTTGGTTTTACTTTAGAAAGAAGTTTATACAATGGAAATTACTTCTATTTAATAATTCAAAATAGATAAAAGGAGTAAGTTACCATATTGCTTTTGTACAACTGAATAGGTTTCAGTTTGATTCAGAGCTGTCCTATTGTTTTGGGTTTGGTGTGTCGTATGCCTATTTCTCTGCAAAGTGTGTGCAGTATAATACTGAAAGAATGATTTCAATATTAGGACTGTTTTGAATAACTGGTGCTCTAACATTCTGTAGAGAAAAATGTTTTTTTACTCTCTTGTTTACTAAGTATTAAGTACACCAAGATAGATCTGTCATGTGCTTTCTTAAAAGAGAAGTATAAAAATCTTATTTTGTTGTTGTAGGTTGCAAGATAACAGACAGTTTAGAGGTAGAGATAACAGACGGGGGTGGCCAAGTGACAATCGATCCAATCAATGGCATGGACGATCCTGGGGTAACAATTACCCACAGCACAGACAAGAACCTTACCACTCCCACCAGTATGGACACTATGGTTACAACCAACGGCCTCCCTATGGTTACTACTGATGGAAATGCCGGCAGCTTTTAGTAAAATCATTGACTGTGTTGACAAAACTTTGTGTATCTTCTGTTGGTCATAATTTTACATCTAACTTTACAGAATGGATTATTATTTTGGAACTCGACTATTTAAAAAAAAATTAGATCTTACTAGAGAGATGTGATGGTTGCTGGGAATAAATACTCCCCTAAAAAGGTAGTAGATTATATTGACTTCTACTTCAGATTGTTGTTTCATGACTTAATAGTGCTTTGAACTTGGTGTATTTTTCCCCTTGTTTGACCTCTAGGAGTTCTGTCTTTGTTTTACACAGAAATAAAATAGAAATTTTAAAATAGAAAATGCTTGCTTTTACTTTGTAATACAAGAAAGTATCCATCCCTAAAATTTTAGAGGTTGGTAAAATCAACTCGTGAATGCACAACTATGCTAAGATGTAGGTACTGTACATAACATCAGCAGTTGGAAGGTAAAACAATTAAAAGGCAACTTCCTAAATCTGCCTTCTCTCTTAGGACCCCACTCTAGGCCCTTGAGAAGTCTCCTCTCCTCTCCTCTCCTCTCCTCTCCTCTCCTTCCTGAAGAGCCATCCTTTCAGGTAAAGATTTTATTGGAAAGGATTTAATAAACCAAGTATTCACACTGAGATGTAAATAAAGCTATGTACCCCTCTAATCACATGAATAGGCAACAAGCCAACACTTTTAGATAAAGACAGGTCTTAACACTACAGATATTTAACCGAAAGAGTTAACAATGGGCTGACTATACCCCTAAGATTTCTGAAAGCAGATGGGCTACTAAGAGTATTTATCAACTGATAAAGCCCAGGTACTACTACCAGTTGGAAACAGTAGCTGACCACAGCTACAAAACAGGATCCTCTGCCGTGCCCGCTTCTGACACTAATTAGGGAGAGCTATGGGTCCGTGAGGCAGTGTTGGAGTGAGGGGTCCCTCTCAGGAAGCTCAGAAGAAAGGTGATTTTCCAACAGTTTTTAAACATTTTTTGCCTTCAGGGCTAAAGATGATTTCCTTCCCTTTTAGTATTTTTCCTGAAGGTTACTGATATCACTAATTTTGAGCTCTAATAAAAGCACTATACTTTATTTCTAAATACAATTTTTTAATACCTTAGAATTTTTCCAGAGTCTCTATTCCATTTCATTGCTTCAACCCAAACACAGATTTGGCTGTGTATGAAAATCTATAACCCAAGGCCCCTGACTTCTTTTAATTAGCACTACTGTTGACAGTGAAAGGGAATTTTTTTCATTAGGAAATGTAGGAAATAAACACTCCCAGCTTGAGGCAGTTTGTAGTACCATTGAATAACTTCAATTAGCTGGAACTGTTACTTGTAAAAGCCCTCACTTTTGTAATGTTAGACAAATTAAGGTATTATACATAAACACTGAAAAATTACTTGAGATTTTTCTTTCAAATAGCTTGTTTTTTAACCAAAGAAACATGTAAGATATACGAGGTGTGATCAACAAATATGGTGAATGTTTAAATAAAAAAAATTATAGTAAAAGACACATTGCCATTAATCCCCCTCAAAATACTCCCTCTCGCTTTGAACACACGTATCCCATCGTTCTTGCCACTTTCTGAAGCAGTTCTGGAAGTCCTCTTTCATAAGTGTCTTGACTTCATTCTCCACCATGACAGTGCTCCGTGTCACACATCACTTCTGCTATACGGCAGAATGTCAAAAACATTACGGTGTGTCCTCATCCACCGTATTCATGGGATCTGGCACCATGTGACTTCTGGTTCTTCCTCAAAGTCAAAATGACCATGAAAGGTAAACGTTTTGAATCGATTCAGGACATTGAGGTATCCACAACAGCGTGACTAAAGACATGAAAGAGGACTTCCAGAAAAAAAAAAAAAAAAGTTGCAAGAACTTTCTGGGATGGGATAAGTGTGTTCAAAGCGAGGGGGAATATTTTGAGAGATTAATGGCAACGTGTCTTTCACTATAATTTTAAACATTCACTGAATTTTTTTACCACACTATATACATACATATACATATACATATATATGTATATGTATATATATATATATATATATATATATATATATATATATATATATATAAAATCAATGAGGACTTTGAAATACTAAATAGGCTTTGGTTAACAGTTTGAAAAGCCTAATTATATAGGTCACTCAAGAGAATCTTGCCTCTATAAATTTTTAAGGGTATGCTTTTAAAATTCTCTAGTTTTTAATTTAGAATGAATCAAGACCAACAGGAGTAGACACTCTTGAAACTGGTGGAAAGTTAATGATGTTAATTTTTAGATTAATACATCAGGATTCAGATACACAGATATGAAATTCCATAATATCAAAAATATTTCTCCTGGCTTCTACTATATTAAATTATTATGGAGCCAAATCAACAACGATGCAAGTCACAGATTATACCATTGGACTCCAAGGTAGCCTAAAGAGCAGACTTCCCAGAAGTCTGGTTTGATCTCTACTGGGACCAGCTCTGGGGGAAAATAAGGGTGGGAGCAGAGATCCCTTCATCTGTGGACATTTTAGGAGAGTGGCCATCAGCCACACTGGCTGCTTGGTCTCCATCAGTGGGGCTGCACTGTATCAGGAAAGGCCAGCAGTGAAGAGGTAGTAACTTCAGCTGCTACAGCTGCTGAGGCCTCTGGGCACCAGAGAAACATTTTTTATCTGAGGAGCTAGTTACCAATGCTCTCAGATTGAAAAAGTGCACATGAACTGTAGATACTACCCCTCAGATTTTAAGATTTACAGGATGGGAGGAGCAGGTTAACAAGTCCTCCATCAAAAATATGTCACTTGACTGCCCCCTTGCAGGATTAAGTGAAAGCATTTACACAAAGTCCCTGGCAAGAAGCTGGGCTCCTACTAGGTGCCCAGTCAAGGTCAGCCATGTGCTTCCAGACGTAGCTTGGGGTGTCTGTGGGCTGGTTTGGGTGCAAGTACGACTCATAAATGTTTCGCAATGTCTCCAGGGGCTGATGGGCTAATTCAGTTGGTGTTTTTGTTCCTGTCTCCAAGGGGCACAGAGAGCCCCACGTATTAATTACCACTTAGATTTTCTCTGGGCTTCAGTGACTTCTCCTGAGACCGCTTCAGGGGATGGTGTGATGATGATGTCATGGTTTTTTCCACTGCCAGGACCTTTAACTCCCTAAGGGATCCAGCCTCTTTGTCTGAATTAGATAAATAAAGCTGCTCCAATTGCTAAAGGAAAGGGCTTTTTGTTTTTGTGTGTTTTTCTCATTTTAAAATTTCCTTCACAATATGCGTTTTGTGTATACATAAAATAGATATTAAAAATGTGAAAACAATACAAATATGAATAATCTGCAGCCAACCAGTGATTATGGTCTGTTCTGTATGCATATACAAATATATATAAATATACCCATACAAATATATATAAATTTCATACACATATACATTTCTCCCTTTTTACTAACGTTTACGGTTACATTACATATAAAAATACATATACACACATGTATATTATTCTTTATTCTTTATTTATGCAACAGAATATAACAGACATCACTCCAGGCCAGTAGTTATAGATTAAAAACTAATGATTTAATTTTAATGACATATATTCTATAATACAGATTTACCACTGACAATATGATTATTCTCCTAGGGGTAGACACTTAGCTTATATCCCCTTTTTTGCCCCTACTAACAATGCTGTGTTGCTATTGTCCATATATCCTTCGGTGCTTTTATGTTGTGTTTTGCAGAGGGTAGTCTCAAAAGTTGAAGTGTTGCGTTAAAAAAGATCTGTGTTTTTAATTTTAATAAATGCTGCCACATTTTCTGAAACACTGTAGCATCCAGTCCCGTCCACAATATATGAATATGCATACATGTGTCTCCCCTCTCCCTGTGACTTCAACTTTTTGTCTAGATGGCCACAGTCTTTCATTTTTTAAATCAGAGTACCTTACATGGTTGTCTCACTGTTGATCTTTCAGTGTTTCACCTGGGACACTGCACCATTCTGTAAATTTATCTGTTATTTTCTTCAGTAGTTTCTTCATGATACTTTTAAATCTTTTTTTCTGTTCCATTTCAGGACTCCGGTTACGTATGTGTTGATTTTCCTTTGTTGGACTTCTGTATCTCATTTTCCTTTCTCTGCTCACCTTCCTGTCCCACCCTCTAAATCCCATGCCATGCTTTCAGTGTCTTCTCTGTTGTGTGGCCTTTATTTCTATGATGCTTGTTTATTTTTAAATTTGATTAGCCACATTTCAAGTACTCAATAGCCCCATGAGGCTAGCAGCACAGCTCTAGAAGATGACAACTAAAGGCTTGGAGTTCTGTTGACTTGACTCACTCCCTTATTCTCCAGTGCTCCAATCCCCAAGGTATCTCTGGGGAAACCTAAGGCTCTGAAACAACTTGAAAGCTACTCTGATCATAAAATCACATCATGGGTGAGGAGATGAGTTTCATGTAGAAATGACCACAGAGCCTATAACTTGTGCTGTGAAGTTTGGGGATTCTCCCCTGCCCAAAATCTAATAGCAAGGGGACTGGACGGTGCAGCTAGGATTGTAAAATGCAGAAAATCTTATCAATGGAATTATAGGATTATCTCAAGAAAGCCTATGTGGGCAGAGGTAGGTGGTTTTCCTGCACAGACATACTGGAGCCGAAAAGAAGGGCACACCTGTGCCATAAATCATCAGTGTCCAGTACTGTACCAGGAGAGGGACTGATAGGAGGTAACGGGAACTCCAGATGCTCATAGCTCTGTGATCCTGGCCTAATTTCCCTAGCTCTGATCCCAAGCTCTACAAGCAGCCTTCAAACGATGACTGGCTTCTTGAAGAGATTTCCCAAAGGGACAGAATATACTCACTAGAGGACCCCATTATACAGTCCAGTTGGCAGGTGTGCTCTTTACTCAAATTAATAATTTGGCATCTTGTTTAGAAATTACTTCTGGTCAACTGTCCAGCCCAATTCTATTTTCACAAATGCTGACTGAGGGGATTTCTGAAAGCTGCAGAGTTCAGGGAGGCACTAGGGACCATGCTGACAGTCCGCCGACCTGGGTTCCTACCACACTCTGGCCTGAGCGAAACTCAGGATATGAGGACACTGAGCCTCAGGAATGTCTCTGAGAAGACGAGACAAGGAAGATCACTGGTCTCCGGCACTGCCGAAGGGGTGTCCTAACAGCGCAGTACAGTTCCATCTTCAAATTACATGTCTCTCTGCTTCTGCATTATGGTGCCGCCTCTCAGATGTAAACTGAAAATCTAGCTTAAATTTTAGTCTCAAGTCATATGCATTAAAAAAAATATGACATGGGGGTGCCATGGTGTGTTCCAAAATTTATATTCTGCATTACGATTAGGGAAGTACTTATCCAAATCCCTAGAATTTGTAAGAGGAGGGATGCTGGTAGCCCACAGCCCAGAAAAGAACTGCCTCCCAAAGTTTGTGAGAGTATAGCTGTCTGAACTTTAAACACTGCAAAAGTGCCACCCACATCCTCCGGTTCTCTCTCTAGCCCCCAGCCAGCAAAGGATGGGGAATGGCCCACTGGAGTCAGGACTCCCGGTTCCCCGCTGCTGCCTCCGGGGGTCGGATGAGCCTGGTTTTTCTCTCTCAGGTCCTGTCAACGTATGGTGGGGGCAAGGCACCTAGCAGTGTTCAACCCGAGTTATTAACAGATTCTTCATAAATCACTGATCACATCTTCAAGTCGGGGTGATATGTGACGCTGAAGTACTAGAAAATCAGATACTATTCGCCAGAGTTGGGTCAATATCTTCCAAACCTCATTTATGGGCTGCCCCAAAGGCTAGACCCTCAGGACAGCACAGGACAAGAAATGCAGTGTAATCACATCACTTCATATACTTCTGCTGGTATTCACTTAAAATTAATGGGGGTGGGCAGGGCTAGAATCAGATTACTAGACAAATAAATATCTAGGAGTTGAAGATTTTGTGTCCTCGGCCTTAGGTCACTGGGCCTGCCTCAATATTCTTGGGCCCAAGCTGACGAAATCTGCATTAAATAAACTTCCATAGCAGGTCAAGGTGCCCGAGCCTTAACTGTGATTGTCACTACTGGGGAATCGCCCTGTGTGGGATGGGAAGCATTACACTGCTAACAGCTGTTTGCTGAGGAAGCAAGGAAAATCTGGTCCTCAAACACAGCTCCTGAGCTAGCTCCTACCTCCACAACCTCCACTTTGAGGACAAAGTGTCACTGGATGTAGATTCTTTATGACAAGATACCATATATTTCTCAAAAAAACTGCTTAGGCAAAGAAGTTCCTGTGAAAATACGGCCATTTAAAATGAAGTAAACTATTGTCATGGGTATTTGTTGATTCCATCCAGTATCCATTTCTTTCTCCATAACTTCCCAACTTTTATTCAGGTCCCTCTCTATTCACTCCTTCGCTTCTGAGTAGGCTGACCCCACCTCCAGCTCTGGGATGGGCTTCAATTATCGTCTAAAACAATTAGGGCAAGTCTCTTCTTTTCTCTATAGTCACTGGTTTAGGTAACTTGTGTTATAGCATGGCATTCCCTGACAGCGGCTGGTTCAGAAACTGCATCACCAAATTTGGGCTGAGACACGGCAGAAGCTGGAAAAGAATTTTCACAGCTCTTCTGAGAAGACTGTCTTCCTACTGGAGGGGGTGATATGTGGATCTACTGCTTTTTTGCCTCCATGAAGGAAGTGGGCCTGAGGATGAAGCTGGCCTGCTGAAGAGAGCTGGGGAAGAAAAGAGAGTCTTAATGATGTCGCTGAACTGCTGACTCAAACTAACTAACCCCCAAGAAAACCCTGCCTCAGGACTTTCCAGGTCTGTGAGCTAACAAATCCTTTTATTGTTTAAGCCCGATGGAGTTGCGTTTCTGTTACTTGTGAAGGAAAGTATCCTAACGAACAGCAATCCATGTAAAATCCATGTAAAAAAAGCCTTTAGAGCTCACAGTGGAACAGTGTTGAAAACAGTAGAGAAAGTTCTTAAGCCAAGACCGTGTAAACAGGAGCACATTTGGAGGTAGTACGGCGTCACGGTTTAGAGAGAAGGCAGCTGAACGTAACCCACACTCCCATTAATGTCTCCTGTTATCTTGGACAAGCCACCTAGCTTTCCTTGCCCTTGGTTCCTATCAACAGAGTAAGAGCTCTGCTAAACAAGTGGATCCCAGCTCTTTCACCATCAGTAATTTTTATTACTGGTCCTTCTTGTGGATTTTGTATTTTTAAAGATCTTGTCTATCAACATGTTGTTCTCATGTACTCAGACAAAGCACACAACTGCAAACCAGCTCTTCTGATCAGCAAAAGTAATCAACTTATTATTTACTTCACCAAATTATAATTTGCACTGAATAAACAAGGTGTTTATTATTAGCTTGTGAAGCTTTAATATAGATATGGTTTCTGACAGGCTTTTACAAATATTGAAAAATAGCTTCCAGGTCTGCCTTCTTCTAAGGCTCTTTGGAGAATCATAAGAACTAGCAGATTTGATGACTGCAGTTACAATTGAAGGAGGAAAACAATTCAGTGACTTCTCAAAAATGATAATTAACACTGAATTACAGGCATGCCTTGAAGATGCTGTGGGTTCAGTCCAGACCACCGCAATAAAGCAAGTCACACGAATTTTTCAGTTTCCCAATGAATATAAAAGTTATATTTACACTATCCTGTCATCTATTAAGTGTGCAACAGCATTATGTCTAAAAAAACAATGTACATGCCTTAATTAAAAAGCACGTTATTGCTAAAAAATGCTAACCATCATCTGAACCTTCAGGAAGTCGTACTCTTTTTGCTGGTGGTGGGTCTTGCCTCGATGTTAACAGCTGCTGACTGAGCAGGGTGGTAGTTGCTGAAGGCTGGGGTGGCTGTGGCAATTTCTTAAAATAAGATAACAATGAAGTTTGCCACATCGACTGACTCTTTCTTTCATGAATGATTTCTCTGTAGCATGCAATACTGTTTGATAGCATTTTACCCACAGTAGAACTTCTCTCAAAATTGGAGTCAATCTTCTCAAACCCTGCCGCTGCTTCATCAACTAAGTTTATGTAATATTCTAAATCCTTGGTTGTCATTTCAACGATCTTCACATCATCTTCACCAAGAGTAGATTCCATCTCAAGAAACCACTTTCTTTGCTCATCCATAAGAAGCAACTCCTCGTCTGTTAAAGATTTATCATGCGATTGCAGCAATTCAGTCACATCTTCAGGTTCCACTTCTAATTCTAGCTTTCTTGCTATTTCCACCACATCTGCAGTGACTTCCTCCACTGAAGTCTTGGAACCCTCAAAGTCACCCGTGAGGGTTGGAATCAACTTCTTCCAAGCTCCTGTTAATGTTGCTATTTTGACCTCTTCCCATGAATCACGAATGTTCTTAATAGCATCTAGAATGGTGAATCCTTTCCAGAAGGTTCTCAATTTACTTTGCCCAGACCCATCAGATGAATCACTGTCGACAGCAGCTACAGCCTTACGAAATGTATTTCTTAAATAATAAGACTTGAAAGTCGAAATGACTCCCTGAGCCATGGGCTGCAGAATGGACGTTGTGTTTGTAGGCAGGAAAACAATATTAATCTCGTTGTACATCTCCTTCAGAGCGCGTGGGTGACCAGGTGCGTTGTCAATGAGCAGTAATATTTTGAAAGGAATCTTTTTTTCTGAGCAGTAGGTCTCAACAGTGGGCTTAAAATATTCAGTAAACCATGTCGTAAACAGATGTGCTGTCATCCAGGCTTTGCTGTTCCATCTATAGAGCACAGGCAGAGTAGATTTGGCATAATTCCTAAGGGCCCTGGGATTTTCAGAATGGTAAATGAGCATTGGCTTCAACTTAAAGTCATCAGCTGCATTAGCCCCTAACAAGAGAGTCAGTCTGTCCTTTGAAGCTTTGAAACCAGGCATTGACTTCTCCTCTCTAGCTATGAAAGTCCTGGATGGCATCGTCTTCCAATATAAGGCTGTTTCATCTACACTGAAAATCTGTTGTTTAGTGTAGCCACCTTCACTGATTATCTTAGCTAGATCTGGATAGCTTGCTGCAGCTTTTACATCAGCACTTGCTGTTTCACCTTGTCCTTTTATGTTATAGAGACGACATCTTTCTCTAAACCTCACGAACCAACCTCTGCTAGCTTCAAACTTTTCTTCTGCAGCCTCCTCCCCTCGCTCAGCCTTCATAGAATTGAAGAGAGTCAGGGCCTTGCTCTGGATGAGGCTTTGACTTAAGGGAATGTTGTGGCTGATCTGATCTTCTATCCAGACCACTAAAACTTTCTCCATATCAGCAATAAGGCTGTTTTGTTTTCTTATCATTCTTGTGTTCACTGGAGTAGCACTTTCAATTTCCTTCAAGAACTTCTCCTTTGCATTCACAACTTGGCTAACAGTTTGTCGCAAGAGGCCTAGCTTTCGGCCAATCTCAGCTTTTGACATGCCTTCTTCACTAAGCTTAATCATTTCTAACTTTTGATTTAAAGTGAGAGATGTGCGACTCTTCCTTTCACTTGAACACCTAGAGGCCATTGTTAGGTTATTAATTGGTCTACTTGCACTATTATTGTGTCTCAGAGAATAGGGAGGCCCACAGAAAGGGAGAGAGATGGGGAATGGCTGGACAGTGGAGCAGTCAGAACACACAAAACACTTATCAATTAAGTTCACCGTTTCATATGGGCATGGTTCGTGGCACCCCAAACAATTATAATAGTAACGTAAAAAATCACTGGTCAAAGATCACCATAACAAATATCATAAAAAAGTTTGAAAAACTGACACAGAGAGACACACAGTGAGCAAATACTGTTGGAAAAATGGACTTATAGACTTGCTCCACACAGGGTGGTCACCAACCTTCAATTTGTAAAAAAAAAAAAGCTGCAAAGCGCAATAAAATGAGGTATGCCTGTACAACTCTTGATTATTGTTACTTTTTCATAAAATGCTCAAGTTTTAAAAAAGTGCAGAAAACATTTTTGCATATAAATAGAAGAGCATTTTAAAATATAAAGTAAGACTACAAAGTAGTGTGACAGGTTTTCCTTTGTCACGTGTAAACTGAATTAGAAGGCAATCCCTAGAATTCCAGAAGTGTTGTGGAAATACTATCATCTTATTTTACAATCAGGTTAAATTTCATTCAACTAGGAGTCAAGGGGTTTGGGTTCTAGTTGTCATCCTGCTAGGATCCAGTGTGACCCTGAATAAGATTCTGGATATCAGAAGACCCACCACAAAATGAAAAGGGGCTGAATCGGGTCATCTTGAATATCCTTCCCAGCTGTTATTTTGCAATGTAATGAAATCAGAGTCACATGTTCCAAGCCATTTGGGGTCTGGAATTTTAGAACCTATATTCAATCTACAGTACCTTTAAAATTTCTACTTCTTTTTTGAGACCCGTTCTTATTTAAATATATGTACTTTTACATGTTCTTCTGTGCACTTAAATATATTTTCCTATTTAACAGCCTCTTCATCATTAGCAATGAAAGTTTATCAAGGATGTATTTTTTCATTTCTTACTTTTATTTTTGTTCAACTTGCTTTTCTAATTTCTCCAAGATCTCTTCTGGAGTGGTGGAGGCCAAAAGTTTCACCACTTTTTCACGAGATTTACCACCCTAGATTAAAAGGAAAAAAAACAGCATGAGGATCACACAGTAAACTTTCTGACACTACTCGAAACAGACTTCAGTCATATGCATCACGGCCATGTCTTTGTGAGGTTATTATGGGTGGGCTGGAGTTTCCCTCACAGCTTAGCTACCACTTTCTCTGGGTCATCCTGGTTTATACAAAGAGTACCTCTTAGATTCCACCTTATTACAAATGCTTAGGACTCTCCAGGGTTCTTACCTGCAAACATCAATTTCCGTAATAATAAAAGCTTTTAGTATTCAATTTTAAATGAATACAGAATCCAGATATACGATATTCTGGTTTCCAGTAATTCTTTTGTATAAATTGGAAATAAAAAATTTTTAATTACCAAAAAATGTTGCAATTTTATGTAAACTTTGTATAAAAGGAATGCCAAAATACAGAACAAATTGCTGTTTTTCTCTACGCTGTTATGCATTTCTGAAAATTCCAAAAAATAAGCATCCACATATCCAAGTGTTGTGATTCCACAACCACTAAAATCCTTTGAAGGTAAAATTTGAGCAGGGATTTATCTAGACAGGTAGAAGAGTGGTGTATGCCTTTCGGGCAAACGTCCGAGCATGCACACTGATAGAAAACCAGAAACAACCTGCTGCAGGTAGGGCATATTAAGGGATGTGGCCTGACTGAATGGATTTTTACATGCAGCCTATTAATCAATGACTAAATGCCAGCTGGCACCTGGATGGAAGCTCAAGTGCAGCACTGGAAAACAAGCAGAGCTTTAAGGGCTGGGTCTCACCCCTGCAGGTTCCATTTCAATAAGTCCAGGGTGATGCCCAGGAACCTGCGTTTTGGAAATCATTCCCAGGTGGTCTGGATGCCCACCCCTAGTGCAAACCTTAGTGGTATGAATGACCTCATATGCGCTTCTCCCGGGGAGCAAGGAGAACATGGGGGACCAGAAATACTTGATGGACTCACAAATGGGGATGCCCAACAACGCACACCGTTTTAGATTGTTGAGTACGGTGATGACTCAAACGAAGAGAGAAGCAAAATTAATCTGACAGAGAAGGTACAGCAATGAATTGGGAAAGCAGAAAATGCTGGAAATGGTGGCTAAGGAATCTAAGTATAGGGCGTGGTCAGTCTGAATAAGGATCAAGGCAGGAGGAAAGAAGGTGACTAAATAAAAAGAATTCACAGATTTTAGTGGTTGAATGAATATGACGATTAAAAACAACTCGTTTTTCAATTGTTTGGAAAAGGAAACAATCAGTATTTAAAAAATCCTAACTGACGTGTAATAACCAGAGATGTTTAGGGAGAGAAACACATACCTTATCCAAAACCACATCACTCTTCCTGAGTTCTAAGACCTTGGAAAGATACCGACAGAGCTCAGCGTTCGCCTCTCCTTCCGACGGAGGTGCTGCAATAGCTACACTTACAGCTTCAGGCGTCAAATCTGGAATGAGAACAGTGTGGGCTTTATTCTTCTTAAGGAGTTGTTCTTCATGAAATGAGCATATTTTGTAAAAGAGTTTGCAATTGCCTGGCACACAGGTTTTCAATTAATAACTGTTGGATGAAGGAATGAATGATAAAACTAATCCCACTTAAGGGAACATAATATGCCTCCACCATTACAAAAAAGAAATCGAGAGAAGAAAACGAATGTTTATCCCACCCTGCTGACCAAGATGCGCCTACAGAGTCCTGGGCAGTATCCTAGATTTAGGCAACTGGAAACTGTGCTTGATCTGATATGAAGTGCTCCAGGCAGGGAGTCTGGAGCTGCAGTGCAGCCCCAGCAATGTCACTGAGGAAGTGAGAACAGAGCAGCTCACTGGACTGTACAGGGTTGTTCAGGTTTCCTCACCAGGAAAATGGGAGCACTGGGCTAGATTCATCTCTTATGTGAAACGTCTATTTAGTGTTTTCAAAATGTAATATTTAATAAACATTTGCATAACACTTACACACACTAATTTTAAGGGCACACGGACATGTTTTAGGAACTCTACAAATATTAACTTGTTTAATCCTCATACCAATTTTATGAAGATGATACTAATACTAATATTATCTCCATTTTACAAATAAGGAAATAGAAACCAAGATGTGTCCAAGGTCACATGGCCAGAAGGTGATGCTGTGATTCAAAATAAATTTGATCTCATACTTTGAAATCCAGGGACAAAGAACATTCCTTCTGAATAGTGGTCCTGGCTCCCGCAGCAACACAGCCTTTATGGTCCTCCATTGCTATTTCTGAGAGAGAGAAGTATTCGCTCAAGGCAGTTTGCAAGTGAGCTTGAGCTGGTCCTACATCTGGGGTTATGTAAGCATTTCCACACACTCACACCTTGCCTGGATAAATAACCTGGCCCCAGAATCCACAAGAATGAGGTAAAACAACCCTCCTCCTATCCTGTCACTGATTCTAAGGTGTGCATTTTAATCTCCTTGAAATCCAGATGTGTCTAATAATGGATGGAAATAGTGTTTAACGGATACAAGTTTTGTCTTACTGGTACATAAAATACCTGTGCACCTTATAGTTGATGGCACCTTAGATTTGATGAAATGTGGTATTCCAACAGTAGACACTGTCATAGCAATTACTTAGAAAATGCTGGCCCAGGAGGGTATGGCCAAGAAATAGCCAAGCTGACATGGCCGCTTGTACAACCAGGCCTAGCACCCCAAAATTAAAAAAATTGGAATACAGAGCTTTAGAGGTGAAAAAGATGGTCAAGATAATTCAGAACAATGGGTTTCAAACTTTGCTCCCCCATCAAAATTTCCCCCATCCACCACCAGTTTCCCCTGGAATCACAACATTTAAACAAATGTAAACACAACTACTCAGGAACCGTGTCTGCTGGCCTCCCCCTTGCCCACCACCGAGATTCTTGAGGCCCCTTTTGGGCTCCAGGCAATAGCTTGAAAGTCTCTAACTTACTCCATCTGACAGGTGAAAAGAACTGGACCCAGAAATGTCCTGTATCATTTTTATTTAAAACAAGTTCACATGGGGGTTGATGGTCAGTACTCTCAAGTCTCAGGTTTCCTCTCCCTCCTTGGACCAACGGTCATTCAACTCCACCAAAACGTCTCTTCTTTCTCTCTCTGGCCAATGTCCCCAGTTCTGGAATAGGACAAACTAATAATCTAACCTACACATGCTTCTAGATGTGTCCTTTCTAAAATACCATATTTTTTAAAGGAAAATATACAACGTCTAATTTCATACCCTTTAAACATCGCATATTCACTTGTAAACACTGGTTTTACACCTTTACGTTAGAATCTAGAATTTAAAAACAGAAAAGTTTCTAACTGCAGATATGAAAAATACACTTGATTGTATACAACAAATTTCAGTTAATGAAGGCAAAGGGAAGCTGGAGGGGGGCAACACCTGATTCATACACGACTCCCACCCCAGTGTACAGATATACCTGTTGTAGCGTTTTGCTTAGAGCCAGGTTTGGCATGGATGGCTATGGTGACACAACCTTTAGGATCAACTGCCACAGGACCTAAGGGAGGAAGTGGTCTCTCTGGCTCCTTGCTCTGGCTTTTACCCTAAAACGACAACAACAGCCACACTACAACTTCACAGATTACAAAATATTTTCCCCACACATTTGATCCTTCCACTAGTCCCTTTCACCCTTAACCAAGACAAACTAGGCTGATCGTCTCTGTCGAGGGAATTCTGGCCACCTGGAATGGCTTTCCAACATCCTTCACGGCTCAGATCAGTTCTTCCATGAAGTCTTTCCCATCGACCCCAAAGGGCGTTTTTCTCTCGCCTCGGAAGACCTGTCTCTGGCTTCCACACCTTAGTGCTGGTTCCCACTATCTGCTGTGTATTCCCATCCTGCAGGGGCAGAGATACCTTTGTATCTCATGAAGCACAAGCTAATAAATGTTTGTCAACAACTAAGGCTGGACGTGTATATATGTGTGTATTTGGGAGACAGGGAGAAAAAACGGCGATATTTAAAGGCCTACTATGTGGCAGATGTTGTAACAGAGCATTCCACTCAGCAAACATGAACTATGCGCCGGGGCAGCCTGTAGGCAAAGGGTATATACTATAAAGGTGGATAAGGACACGTGATCCTGGCCCTCAGGAGCCAGGGAGAATGAAGTTACTATTATATTACTGCCTACAGGGCCTACGAGACACGCAGAGGGCGTCACTGGCCCCAGACGAGAAGGAGGGGGCCTGGGGACCTGCCAGCAGGCGGCAGTAAGGGAACTGACTCTCAGAGACCGATTGGAGCGGGGCCTGCAAAGTGGGAGTGGCGTGTTCTTGACAGAAGGGGTGCGTTTAGCCACGGTGAGGGAAAGCGCAGAACAGAGCCTCCGGGGGGAGGCACAGGCCGAAGGCGCTGCCGGACAGGAGCCCACCCAGGAGTGCGGAGAACGAGACCAGAGAGGTCAGCAGGCACCGCCCAGGGCGCAACCTGGGTGGAGGGCGGCCGGGCGAGGTGGGAGAGAGCAGCCGGAGCCCCGAACCTACTGACCACAGCTGCCGGCGATGCTCCCACGTCCCGCTTCCTCTCCCGCGCTCCTCAACGCGCCTCCCGCGCCCCCCCCCCACTCCCCTGCTGCCACGAGACTTGTCACTGACTTTGTTCGTCGCACCAGCTTTTTTCGGCATCTCAGCGCCTGCAGATAACCGAGCGGAGGCCGGGGCACCAAGTCCCAACCCGAGCGGCTTCAGCCCGCAGCCGAGCCGGAGCATGCTCTCCTGGAGGGCGGTGGAATGGGCGCCAGCGCCGGAAGCGCCCTCTGCGCCTGCGCACGCCGCATGCGGGAGCGACCCAGAGCCCGCGCCTCTGCTCCGACTCCGAGGGCGACACCTGCCGGCCGGCGGGAGCAAGACGCCTCGCTCCAACAGGGCCTGCGCGGGCCCCTCTCGTCCTGGACAGTGGCCCAGGAGACGGAGAGATGGGGAGCCGGGCTCCGGCTATGTCATGCCCCACACACCTCCGCCGGTGGTAAGGTTGTGTTACCTCTGGTCTTTTTTCTTCATGGGAAGAAAGGACAAGGAGTGCACAGCGCCAGGTGTCTTCTCGCTCCCGCAGCCAACCAGCAGGTGCGAATGGAGAGCCCAGCAAGCGGGTGTAGATAGAGCCTCGTGCTGTCTTAGCCCTTGGGTAGTCCATGTACTGATGGAGCACCCACCTTGCCAGGCGCTGGGGATTCCACAATTGTACAGAGGGTGATAGCTGGTGTAGGGAATAATTTGACTTCACTGTGACGGAGTTAACTGGTGTCTGGAGGGGCACATAACATTAAGGCTTTTTAAAAAAACTGGATGGGAGATAACCGTATTTGAACATTAATAAGAATAAGCCAGGAGAGGGGAGGTAACAACAGAGCGAGGTGGTTGGGTTCTGAGCACAAATGGAGGCCTTTGTCAGACACCCTTTCCTTCACAAGTAATGTGACAGCCTCGGTGCACATGTAGGTGTGTTTATAGGTTTGGTGGGAGGAGCTGGAGTTTCTTTTAACTAAAGGAGGGACTATTGAAGATGTGGGGAGAGTGGGGATTTAAATGCTCAGGAGAATGGCAAAGTGCTGACTACTTAAACGCTCACCTGGCTGCCCCACTAGTCTAGTTGAACTTGGAGGCCAATCTGGACAGTATCATTTTAAACACTGGGACTCAGCAGCCAGGAAGATAAGGCAGACAATTGGATTCATCCAGGTGGGTATGAGGGACTTGAGGGATACTGATGAGTGGTCAACGATCAAAAGTGGAGAAGGAAAAAGAAGATCTAAGGTGGTCTAATTGGGTAGGTAATGAAGAGGGTCGACAACACCGAAGGGAATGGCAGTTTTAAGGATCAATAACAGATGCAGTTGGGATGCTGGCGAGGGCTGAAGGGGAGCATCGAAGGTTGTGGTCAGAGTTGGATATCTCAATGTGCTATTTCAGAGGTAGTACAAGCCCACATGACGACAAGGTGCGCAGTGGGGACGTGAGCCCTGGCTGAAGTAGAATGGTCATTACTGGAGGTAAGGGAGGAAACGGAAAAGCTAGCTTTGAATGGGTTGTCCACTCCGCATGGACACTGAGGCCATTGTGTGTGCAGGCTTTGGTAGAAGTGAACCAGGTGTTAAACCAAAGCCTTATTTTCTTTGAAATCAGTTAAGAAATGAGGCACAAAAGCTGCAAAAGCATTATTTAGAATTTGTGAAGTCATGACAGCCTCAATGAGAGCTTTGACAGTTATGATGGAAATAAAGGGGGCCCTTGGCAATGGTGTTATTAATGGTATCTGGCAATTGACTGGATGGATGAAGGCAGAAAGAGGTGCCTTGCAAAGAACCATTCAGCCTTTCCCGAGTGAATCAGAAGTGGGGGTGGGGGATGGGGTGGAGGGGTAGGGGTAGGGGAAAGCCATCAGCTCCATTTGCCACCCAAGCTGTGCAACTGACTGGTTGCTCCTGCCCAAAGTCTCTGCCTCTGGAGGGGAGAGACAGAATGGGAAGAAATACTGCCCAATGGTGTGGGTAAGAACAGAGCCTATGATCCAAACGCAGAAAACCCATAAATGTTTATACTGGTTCCTATTTTATCTTCTTTCAGGTCTTAGTAAAGCTCCAAGTAAAAACTCCATCTTGTCTTAGCTTTGTCAATGGAGAAAATGGATTTTTAAAGTGTATAAACTAGGCAAGACAGTAGATAAACCATGTAGCTCTGGGGCTGGAGGTGACTGGGGGTGGGATCACTAGGGCACCACCCCCTTACGAAGGATGCATCTGTCTAATTCAAGGGACAATTCCCCCGTTTTGAATCTGAAAGACTAGAACAGGGAAGCAGAAAGTGGTTCGAAGGACGTGGGACTAGAAAGGGAAGTGGAACAATACATTTTAGACATACTGCGTTTAACAAAATGCCTTTGAAAACATGGCTCTCTCTAATGTCCTACAAGCTTGTCTATTCCCAGGTAAATTTTTTTCTTTAAAACTATAGGTACTACATATGTGGACCTAAAAGAAAGAACACTTTGATAATGCAAATAATCTGAATTTGTTGGGAAGATATTGGAATAACCACTCTTAAAAAAAAAAAAGAAAATACTTATATTCTATAGTAAATACAGATTAGCCAGGTATCTTCTGGGGTCTTATTGTAAAATTGGAGAAAGGTGACATGTTACTTTGAGACACAGCAAAAAAACCCAAACTTTTCCCAAGTGTAGCTTGGGAGATAGACATGGGTTTAAATTCTGCCTCCCACCACTTATTGACCGTTTTAAACAAGAACTTTGCATGTGAAATGGGTATTCTAACAGTACTTACCTCAGTGATGTTGTAAAAAACAAATGAGGATGTAGGTGCTCAGTACAGTGCCTGGTACATAGTAATCACTCCAGTAGCTATTATTGATACTAAACAACAGTGAGATGGTCTGCACACTAGTCAACAACAAGTAGTCTTCATCCTCCCACCTCCTGCAATTAGAACAGGGGAGAACCCAAGACCATAAAAACCTGATCAAGAAACAGATGATAGCAGTTGTTATTGCTGTAGTTCCTATGACTTGCTTTACAGCAGCAGCGAGGGATTCTTGTTTCCTGTTCCATTACTTCTATAAATTAAATATAGTTACACCTCAATGAACCAGAACCCTTGTTCCAAAATGGCATGTTACACTCAACTTTTAGAAGAAAAAGACACATGACAAAAAAATAAATAAATAAAAGGATAATAGATATTTATTTTTTTAAAAATTCCAAGGCATGTCCCATAAAAGTAAACAGTTATTTCTCATGACTCCTATTGGCTACCTTCAGTTACAATCATTGTTCAGTGCAACATACTGGAAGCATTTGGAATGCCTCAAATGTCAAAAACCATAAACATATCTCTAGCATACCACCCTTTTTAAGGCAGAAGTGTTTTCCATAATGGTTACAGAGTGTTTGCTGGTTAATCTTTAGTTAACCAGAACCAGACATACCATGGATATTCCAGTTAACTGAGGTTTAGATCCACATGGTCATGGTGCCAGGGATAAAAAATTTTTCCCTTCAGCAATTTCAAGAGACCTCTGCCACCAACAAATCTCATTACCTTCTTGAAAACAGGAAATGAAATATGACTTTAAATGAAAAAATTTTATATCCTAATTACCAACATTTAGGAAACATTATTTTTAAGTTGGAAGAATTGTGGTTTATCTTCCACAACTATTTGATATACCTTAAACTTAATTACACATTACTTTTTTATAAGATAATCACTTTCAAAAGAATGTTACTGATATAAAAATTTTACTTTATAATAAAAAAGAATATAAATGTCAAATTTTGCCAGATATACTTCCTATCCCTCTCCTAATAGTACCTGTGACATTTCTGAGTCAGGAATATTAAATATATTTTACTTCTTGGGTAGAATTGTGTAGGTGACTGAAAGTACGGTATTACTTCAGCAGGAGTGATTGTGTTAGATAAAGTTTCAAAATAGTTGTTAGAAATGTTAATATTTCATTTCTTGCTGTGTAAGATTATCACTGCCATGTTGAACTTATGTCTGTTTAGCCAGTCATCGTCATCATCACCATCCTCTTAATCTTGGGAACTCTTGGCAACATCCCCCACACAAGACGGGTGCAGTTCAGTAATAAAGAATCCAGTCTTAGAATATACCTTTAGATCCTTTGTTTATATGATATTATTGTGAAGTTGTACAAATGCCATTTGTCGTTTAAAACTGTAGTATGTAACACATTACTATACTATACAAAATATCCTGTTCTGTAAATGCAATGAAAATTTTCTTGGGCATCTATTATGCCTATTTCTAACAATATTCCAAATGCTAACTACCAGATATTTTAGAAGTCCAATTATAACATCTTGTTATTTTTCTAAATTTTTCTTAAGTTTTCTTAATTGTCTGAAATTAGTTATCTGTGTTAATAGGAATACTGACCCATCTCAACTCCAGTAACCTTCAAAACAGTTAAGCCTATATGCTTGTCTCATCTAATCTTCAAAATAGTTAAAACAAAAACAAAACAAACCAGCTATAGAAAACAAAAATCTTTCAATTATAAAACTGTTGAAAGATCATGAGTCAGTTGATCTATGAAATTATACAAGGTAAAGATGAAATAGCTATTTTTTATTTAAACAATTAAACCCAGTTCTCTTTCCCCTACGGTTGTAAGAAAACAGAAAATCTGCCTTTAAATCATGCAGAGATTTAAATCAACATTTACCTATCTCCTCTAAGAAACTAAAATGTTTCTTATCTTAAAATTACAAATATTCATAACACTCAAACTCTTTTTTGTGGCCAGTTTTTTATGCCTTTGAGACTAGACCATATGGTACAATTTCACCAAGATGTTTTATAATGCTAAATTATGTATAAAATATTATTTCTGGTATTTGTCCATCTTCTATTGAAGTGCCATTATTATTGCCAGGGGAACTAAAAAAGAAAAAAGCTGTCTTGCTCGCAGTCGGCGTTTCGTGCACTACTTTCTTCAGTCCTTTTGTGCCATAGTGGGAATCTGGCCCCTACATGAGAACAAAAGGTCCATTAGTAATTTTTCTTTAAATAAACACTCAATTCAACACATCGAGAACGGGGCATTTAAATGTATAGACGCAAATCTGCATCACCGGTCCTCAATGTGTTAAGGTGGTCTTTTAATTCAATTAATGATCTATTATGTTGCATTATAGCTCTTGTATAAAATTTTGTGCTAGTCATTTAATGAAAAATAATGTTTTTTTGCTACAAAGCTAATTAATGATTAACAATACCAAATGGAGAGCTCAGCTACTAGAGAACATGAAATATTTTTTAAAAAATAATTATT